CAGTATTTCAGGAAACAACAAATGTGGTGAAAGGACACTTTCATATTGTTTCATGCTTCTCATTAACACTGTGGCTCATGCAGCTGCCACAAACTGCCACTCCCAAATCTTGTTTTTTCTGCAATTCATGTGCCATGCAAATGAGCTACAGAGGCGTAGGTTGCACCCCTGGTATTATCATTTTAATGAGTCGCAACATATCATATATTCAGAACCCAATTACAACAAAGAGGCATTGGTTTTGAATTGATTAGGGTAGGTGAACAATGTGTTCTGCAGAGGGTTTAATTGAAATGAGAGATTCAACCTGCATCATTACATATTCCGCAGTACAGCATTAGTGTTGACTAATAATGCCTGCACCATAAATGTAAGTCTTTACGGTGTAATAGAAAATAAAGTATGCCCTCGCCGCTCTGTTGAAGCTCACTCAACAACTTCACATATTCTCTAGGACTCATCAGGGATGAAATTGATATACATTTCTAAATATTACTTTGATTTGTACCAAATAAAGGAAAATCAGAAAAAAAGGCATATAAACATTTGATGTTCTTGCCTTACTTTGACTTCATTTAATTTTTAGCTTTTCCCCAAATTGGCTCAGTCTCAAAGAGCGACAGGTCAGGCCAACTACACCGTCCCACACCTTATTGTGCAGAACACATTTCTGTCGAGGCGAGCATCCCGCACATGCAGCCGGGGGACCCAGTCATATTGTGCTCACCCTTTGGCATAGGCCCTCCAATCAGGGATGAGTAATGACTAGGCAGGCTTGCATGCAGTGATCCCAGCTTTCTAATTAGTCTTCCATTAACTTTTTCAACCTTGGCGGCTGCGGGGTGCACATTTAAAACACACACACACACATAGGCACACACACAACTCGCAGCCTCAGACCAAATGTTAAGCCTCTCCTCTAAAATCAGAAATTAAGTATTTAGTTACATTTTATAATCTTCAGTGCTCATTTAAATCGAACTCACTTTCAACCTTATTGGCCAAAAGAGCAGGGGTTTTTTCTCCCTCTGGTGCTAATTTATATATTTCACATTTGAAAATAATTATACTCATTCAGTATAATTTGATTTTGTGTGTCATGTTTTCTCTTTTACAATCTGAATGAAATATAGTTTTACATAATCATAAACCAACAGTTTTCTGAACTGTACATTATTAAAAAATGTTCAGACTAGTTTTCCGGATAATTCTCTCCACTTATTAATAGATTCTCCATCTATGACTATAATGCGCTGTGTGTGTGCATGAAGGAGATAAGCCGTCTCTGGTTGAGTTTGAAAGAACACGCTTTTTTAAGTACAGACTGGTGGAATATACTTTAACAAAGAAAAGGTCAGAGATACATCTTCTCTGTTGGATTTGTTTCTTTAACACGCTTGAGAAACCTTGGCCAGCAGTGTGTGTATACACGAAGAATCTCAATGAATTACTGGTTCTTATTTGGCAATCTGGTTTGACTGACAACTGTCAAAGACCCTACGATGTGTTTCTGATGTGTGGAATAAAAGAACGGGCCCAAGCCTTGCAGGATGAGACATGCAATAACAGAAAGCACACAAAAAGATTGACAAGAGAGGAAGCCTGAGGGAAGAGTCTACATGACATGGATACTAAGATTTTCCATTTGGTTTTGTTTCAGGACAAGTTGTTCACTCAGTTATATTTCTCCTTTCCTTTATCACATCAAACAGAACATAAGTGAAATGTAATCAACTTCAATGGTGTGTGCCAAGGCACAC